CTTCTTGTGAATAAACTTGACTTTTCAAACCCGGATAAAAGTAGTGATTTTATCACAGAGGCTATCGTGTTTGTGTGCAAGCCTCAATTCCTAGACGAAAAATAAGAAATTATACACCTTTCTGGTCTGCTGAGTTATCTGGAACTGAAGAAAAAAACGTGATGATGCCCGTTAACAAGCTGAGCTTCTGGGTGAATTAAAATCAAATGTAACTCTTCGTCGTTCACGGGCAGTCCTTAAGAGAGCTATAAAAGAAGCAGAAAGAAAGTGTTTAAAAATTTTTTTTTCGGCTTTGGACTTCAGAAGAGATGGTGTCCGGGCTCATCGTTTTATCTCTTCCTTAAATAAAGAACAAAATGAAACAAAAAATGAACATTTGGTTAGAAATGGAAGATCTTATTATACTAACAGAGAAAAAGCCTTTACCAAATTTTACGGCTCAGTGTGCAGACTGTATCGTAAAAAACGGACTAAACTTCCTTATCAGCCGCCACCTGTATGTCTCGACTAAGACGATGAACTTCTTTTAAACAATAATTTTACTCTTGACGAGCTCTACAGAGCTATGCATAAGACAAAAATGGGTAAATGCCCTAGATCTGATTGCGCAGTGAACTTCTCATTAAACTGGGTAAAAAGGACAAACAAACTCTTCTCACCTTTTATAGCATTACTTGGAAATTGTATGTTCCTCGAAGTGGGAAAAGGCTATAATAATCCCTCTCCTGAAACATGAAAAGCTAACTGACAGTCCATCTAGCTAGAGACCAATTTCCTTAACAAACAGTTGTTGCAAATTAATTGTTGCAAATTGTTGCAAATTAATAGATTAAACTTCGATCTGGAGGACAATAAGATTCTCTCGGACCTTCAGGCTGGTTTCCGTAGAAAACTTAATAGTATGGAACAGGCAGCATCCTTTTCACAATGTATTAAAGATGTATTTCATAGAAAACAATCCACACTTGCTGTCTATATAGGCCTTAAAATAACTATGATAAGTTCTGGCGTAAAAAACCGGTTGAGAAGATGATCTTGGCCGGTATCAGGAGAAACTGGCTTAAATCAATAATTTCCCAACGAATGGCCAGAGTTAAATATCAATCCTCTTTATCCAGGTATGTTCTTCTCCAAAATGGGCTCCCTCGAGGAGCTGCAATTAGTTGTACTATGTTTAATATCATGATTAATGAAGTGGCTAATAAATTGTTGGAGGTACCAGGTATCCAATGCCTAGCATTTGCCGATGCCTCGGCGTCTTCTTAGATAATAAGCTCTTGTGGAGAAGGCACGCTGATAAGATGGCTAATAGGGGAAATAAGAGACTCAAACTTTAAAAAAGATTGTCTGGAATCACTTGGGGTTCCTCTACTGATACCCTTTTGACCATATATAAAACTTATGCCAGGCCAGTTTTGGAAGTATGAGTGTGAACTTATAGCCACTGCCTCTGGTGGCTGTGTCAAGAAGATATTGACTTGATGCAAAATAGGATTAATATTAGTGCAGCTGGTTCCACTCCAATCGTGGAGATCCAGACTGGCATTGAGCTTTTAAAATTTAGAAGAGAAAAACGGGCTTTAAAAAATCTATGATAAGTGTTAAAAGATTGAATTTTCAACATTGGAAACAGTACTGCACCGCCACCCCTAGACTGAAAACACACAAATCATTTATCTCTTGTGCTGAGGAACTCTGCATCCTATATATCAGCATACCTACTCACTCCACCCTTTCCAGTTTGGCCTCTCTCATCCTACTATTAGAGCTTATAATCTCGCCATCGGTATGCCTGAAAAGAAATGTGATGCAGTTCCTGACGCTCTTAAAGCTTTTTCTTTAGAAATTATAGCTCCAAATTACCCTGAGTGGATCCATATTTATATTGATGGCTCTGCATGTGAGGAAAATACTGGTGCCGGGTTGTACTGTGAAGGGTATTTTGAGGAATCCTTCGCTGTTGGTTTTAATGCCTCTAACTTTGAAGCAGAGATTTTTGCCTTGGGAAAAGCAACTTTAAACCTTCTTGGACTTGATACTAACTTTAGCAAGGCAGTTATATTGACTCCCGGGCTGCAATTATGACAGCTGTCTCCTATACACCTAGTGATTGCTTTCTTGTTGAAGAAACTACGATAAATGCATCCAAAGCAGGTGCCTCTGGCTGGGAGCTTGTTTTTTAACGGATCCCCAACCACTGTGGCGTGGCTAGAAACGAAAAAGGCCGATCTTTTGACCAAAACTGGTTGTAAGCTACTCCAACCACATTTTTCTCTATCCAGCCATTTAGTTCTGAGTTTAAGAAGAAAGTGGACCAACTCTTAAACAAAAGTATAAACACCATTCAATGATAACGTGTGGAACACTCTTGCATTTTCGCCTATCCCAATAGTCATGCCCGATGCAGTTTTTACGGCAAAATTTCGACTCTCGACAGGACATGACTTTCTATATAAACACTTGCACGCATTGGGGTAGTTTCTGATGATGTTTGTCTTCTTTGTCTGACGGGTGAAACCATCATCTTTCTTCATTTGATAACTTGCACTGCACTTGATTTTATGATTTTTAATTCTGACAACTTTATCAAGGCTAAATTTTATTGGAATGCCAGAAGTGTCATGGCAGATATCTCTACAGACTGACTAGGGGAAAAAATTTTTGTCAAAAAAATTATCGCTCTGTATTATAATTAAAAAATGAAATAAGAATCTGCATGAGTGTAGTATGTATGTATCTCGCATTGTGAGGAAAAAGAACGGTACCTAAAGGCAACTATTCAAAATATATACGGGCACTTGGAAGCCTCCATTCGAATATGGGCACCTGGAAGCCCAAATTTTGAATTTCGAATTAATTTTGTTATCTATCTGATATTTTATAAAACATTAAACGAAATTTTGATTAAAAAGCTCAACGATTTCAAAGCGAGCATTGGTAACAATGTATGAAATAAAACATTTTTATCTTCAGCGCGCGAGCTTGTCTATAGGAAATTCCAAAGATATGCTGTTTCTAAATATTTTTAGCCCAAAGAGTAGGTAGCCCAAATGCTCGCGTATCTGAGTGTAAATGAAGAAAACGTCCCTTTGGGTGCAATACAAAATCTGAAAGCTTCAGAATATCATTATCATATCGATATTTGCTCTTTATTTGAAAATTGATTTAGCAGTTAGAGAATAATGAGATAAAGAATGAAAGGGTAGACGAAGATGGGGAAAACTCCCATCTCCCCCCTACCCACTTGCTACGCAGCGCTAAGATTGGGAGGATAGTAAGAAAACTGAGAGAAAGGACATTCCTTCGTAGGTGACAAGGGAGGGGAAAAATTTAGGCGAAAAGTTTTTGGGGTGGATATACCCTTTAACTCTGCAGCCAGCTCATTCATCCGGCAAGAACAGAGCTCGGAACGAATTACCAGTGTTTAGTGGTCCTACACATTCAACCACTTGCGGGCGGCTTCCATCTCGATAGTAAAAGTTTCGTTAGAACCTAAATATAATTTGAAGAACAGCACAATCAAGTGGTTTACCAAATACAACCCATTTCTGATGATCGCTCTTTGGTTCTCTCGCTCAGAAGAAGAATCGCAGTTGCGATTCAACTTCCTGCCGATCATTTCTGTGTACACAGGAAGACGGACAACTGCTTCAGATGTGGAAACGCTACACGTCTAAAAACTACTTATCTTTCATTTTTCTGCATTTTACTTAGTCGTTTAAGGCGCTCAATTTCGCTGAGCAAAAGAACGTGTCACATGTAACAGACAAAACTAAAGCACAAGAATGCTAACTAATGAAATAATAAATTAAAATATTATAATTTAATATAAATTCATATTTTGAAGAATAATAAATTATACTCACACATTTTAAAAAAACGGAACGAAAATTATTCTGTTCCACTTGCAGTCAAAATTAAAACGTCGGACCTTCATGCCAATGTAGCGCTTTTCATAAAGAGGGTACCTTTATGCTGATTCACCATTTTTCAAAAAGGTGCTGGCACTTTTATTATAATTTAGCGTTCTTTTTAAAGGTATACACAGCCCTTCTCCTTTTCATAATGGCACTGAAGATTTATTTCATCCCCTGCTTAATTGCTAACGAATGCAAACGAATATTGGACTTGCATAAGGATGCCCATCTTCATAAAGTTTGCCTTTTTCATGTCAGAAACAGATCTTTATAATGACTATTTTTGAAATTCAAAAATTTACATTGGCGCTTTTTTTTCAGTTTGCGGCACAGACCCTTATTCCGGAGACCCTTATGAAATTATGAAGGTTTCTATTTTTTCGAACAACGGCCGACATTCACCCTTATGAAGGGGTTCCGTTCTTAGGAAGTCAGGCTCTTGAGGAAAAAAGGGAAAATATAAAAGTAAATTAGAATAGTTCGTAGTTTTTCTGGCAACATTTTGATGACTTTCTGTAAGTCTGTTAAGAATGAGAGATAGAAATGTTGTATCATTAATTAAAATTTGTGCATATGGGAGTCACCTGACTTAGTTCAACATTCATCAGATTATGAAGGAAGAAATGTAACTACTCCCCACGGTCACTGAATGAAATGCAAAGGTAATTAAGGGGTGTACGGGCTTCTTCTCGCCTGAAATGCCTAATAACTCAATTAACAGCATGATTTAAACTTGCATGTGCACTAAAAATGGACATATTTCATAAAAAGTTTTTTTTTGGGGAGGCAAACGGCATTAGTCGTCTTTTCTTCATTCACGATTTTCACGAAACAACTTTTTATGATTTTTATGCAAATTGCACCAGCACTGCACGCGTTAAATTTCTTATTTCACTTATATATGTGCTAAATTATATGTTTAAGAGTTTTTGTTTTCATAACTATGGTCTAAAATATATTTGTTTCTTAGTTTTTAAAAAGCAGTGCATTTATGTTTACTAACAATAAGGCTTTGCTGAATAATAATACCTAGAATTTATAATGCATCAATATTCACACAATTAAAAATATAGTATAACATACGTGTAATATGTGAGATCATATGCAACTTTAAATTTCTCATCAAGAATGGTTCCAAATTCATTGTAATATCGATTTAGAAGAGAATAAGCATGGTCTTCCCACGTACAGTCCTACAGAGAGGAAATAGAAGTCAGTAAACAAATATTCGTAAATAATTAAGTAAATATGAAACTAATTTTTGCTTAGTTGATATCTTGCCTGAATGTGAAAAACTCCATCATTTTCACTAAAATTTGAGCAGTCCTTATGCGATGAATGTTGATCATCTATGAATCTCTCCATATCGGAATCACTAGCTGATTCTGCTGCACACGGTATATCCCTCTTTTCTTCATGTGAAGACTCTTTCTCCTTTTTTTGTACTATTATGCTCATTTTTTCCATAAGTTCTTCAACAGTTCCAAGCGCTTCCTTAAAATACAGAAGATATTAAAAATATTAGTTGCAGAACTTATAAACCAATATCCCTTTTTATTATTCTAAGTTTACATATATAACACTATCAGAGCATGCATGCAATTGTTTCGCATCACAATTTAATTCAGGTGTTTTCAGTCATTCAATTAAAATAAAAATAGTACTGCTTTTCATTAAAAATCATTTTCGATTAAATTAATCGGAAGTAATAAAGAGTTTCGAATCTGCTTACGTAAGAGTATTAACTAAAAGTTTTAAATGTTTATAGTACGTAAAATAAGGGAAACAAAATTAGTTCTGATTCTTATTCGCGTAACTAGCATATCCTAAATTTAGTAGATAACGCAATACCATAGAAGTATTTATTTATTTATATTCTACACATTCTCATCTTTGAAACCAAGCAGTCCAATCATTCAGTTTCATGAGACATATTAAAAATGCACTTTTTTCGTAAAAGTTATCCAAAATTTTAATAAAAAAATACAGTTCGAAGAATATACTTACTTTCTATCCGATTTTCTGAAATATACTGTTTTCTACAGAAACTCCTCAATCTGGAAGAACGCATGCTTACAAAGCAAATTAATAATACTACACAGAAGATATAATCAAAGACGCAAGTTTTTACGAGTTATATCTAATATGAAGCGAATCAATAAATAATTCGATACAAAAAGCCTCATTACATAATACCACAAATCGCAAAACGGACGGGGGTGAGTAAATAATTTAATCGAGGTACATAACCATGGATCTCTCTCCTGCAGATCCCTTAAAGTCAATTGAAAAGGAGTTGTCAATGATTGATTGAAAAGTATGACACGTTGCTAAATCATATCCGATGTGTGTTTAGTAACGACAATCGAATTGCAGGACAGGTTTAGAAAACAAAAATATGATTAAGGCACTAAAAGGGAACTCGAAAGATGTATTGCCTTACACGCAAAAAGAACTTGTGTATGCTATATAGCTCTGGTTATAATGACGTACTTCAGCATGCTTAACATTATTGAGCTGCTATTTGTAATGAAAGAAGAAGGTAACCGGATAACAAAGACAATACTTCAGTAACTTAGTGCAAGCGTTAAATTACTGTATACCACAAAGCATAAAAAAGACACATGTATTAAAATATAATATTTAATTCAGACAAGATATGCAAATAATACATTTATGGCAAAACAGAGAAAGTCTTAAAGATATTAACTGAACAAATTACTTTTAAGACCTTCATTTTTGTTATTAATAGCAGGTAACAGTGTGATCCTCTCATAAGGATCCAATTCATCTTAAATTCACTTCACATGATCCAATTACTTGTACCAATAGATGGTTATATTAATTTCGATATAGTAACAGATTGAATGAAGGTTTTAAAAACGATCTAGGACGATATCTTACACCCAATAACCTGCAATCTGTGTCGCATATTAAGTAATGCTCGCTTTTTGCGCGTATAATGTAACGAAAAGAACAAATTGCAATATATCTGTTTTTTTCTGAAACTTGTTCATGTTAGAGATTACAATGTTTCTTTATGTATTTTTTAATGCTCTAGCATAGAATAAAGGTGATTTTTGTGTAAAACTTCAACTCAAAAATTCCACTTTTCTTACTCGTATTAACGACTTAATGCTAATTAATCAAGCATAATTATGTTATTAATCAAGCAGAATTAAACAGTAATAATAATGTAGATTTTGCTGTGCAACTGTTTGGTCAACAGTCGCTAAATCAAATCATGAACTGATTTTTTTTAAAGTAAATCATGGACATAAATACCCCAGAATAAAAAAGTAGATTATTGCTACAAAACAAAATTGGATTATTACCATAGTAAAGTATTTAGTCTCACACAGAAAGTTACAGTACTTGTTAAATTTCACACAGGAAAAGAATTTAAATATAATTTGGTGTGTGTATTTAATTATGGCAAAGAACACGAGGGCTATCTGCCTAAGGGGAAGGATGCCTTCGTGAAGGACTTTCTAAGGGAAACTGGCTTGTATACACGTTACACATGGGGAAAACCACGAAAACGCCCATGCAGCCAGCCCGTTCGCGGGATTCGAACCTCGGACCGAACTACCACTGTTCAGCGACTTTACCGCTCGCCCGCTGGTGGGCCCTAAATACAATTTGGACTTGAGTAGCTAAACAGTTGAGGTCATTGTGGGTACAATTGTTACTCTGACTGTCTTCAGGCGGTGATAGATGAAAAGCATTCATTTGTAACCTTTTTCGCTGCAAGGCTCAAATAAATGATATGGCTATCTTCGTTACACGGATCTTCATTGCAGGATAAACAATGTTCATTCTCATTTTGTATTAGTGCGACGTGATAGAGGAGATATCTCAACAGAAACGTAAAATCAAGCGATGTTAATTGCTAAACGAAATTCTGAAAGAGGAATTCAAACGAAATTTTAAAAGAAAACATTTTTTTCCCTCTTTTTTTATTTTGTTAATAATTAGCTTTCTGTTTTTTTTTTTTTTTTTTTTTTTTTTTTTTTTTTTTTTTTTTTTTTTTTTTTTTTTTAATTTTATCCTTCCTTTTTCATTTTACACTTTCATTTCAGAAATATGCAAAAATAGATTAAATACACACAGTCGGGCAGATTTGACAGAATGATTCCTGTAAAATCAGTATTTTGTGAGAAATTACCGGTATAACAGCCGTCAACACTGTTTGACTGGCAAATTTGTGGACATTATACCTCTTTTTACGGACTTTTCATTACAGATACGCCCCTTTTTTCATTTATCTTGCAGGTTCAATAATTAGATACATGGAAAGATATGGAAAATTACGCAAAGAAGTGGAAGGATTCAGGGTGTTTTCTTTAATGAACGCTCGTGCTAGTGCTCTATTCCAATGCAGTAGCGCTCGTCTTCATACCTAGCATCTCTGAGGTTTGTCTTCCATCCAGCTGCATCGCTAGATCTGTCCCCAATATAAAACATCGTCGATTCTAGAGGCTACTCTGTCAAGATTCTACCGCTACCACAAAATCTGCAAGAAGAACAAGGAAAGAGTCCTGTCTGCATGAGGTGAGCTAATGATTACATTAGGGACCTTTATGATTCAATGCCGCGGCGATATGTGGTAGAATGCTTCAGAAATAATGGCAATCTTCAACTACCTGTTGAGAGTTATAATGTTTTGTGTAATAATAAAACAGTTCAATAAATCTTTGTCATATCATTTTTACTTTTTAATCATTTATTGTTGTTGGTAACTGCTAACTTCCTATCACATTTCAATAGGACACTTCCTGTTGGGTATAACTTTTCCCCTCCGCCATTTTTGACAATGAGTGTATATCTTAAATCATCCCTTCGCGATCTGAAAACGAAATTTAAATTTTGCCAATTGCTTAATTAAAACTGAACTTTTGTTTAAAAACTTTAGAAGGTATTGTTTTCAGTAAGGGGTAAAATCCAGTCTGTTACTAACAATGATCATAAAAACCGAGAGCACGCTGTTGCCATTTGTCGAAAAGGAAGATATTTTATTTATCTTAAATATTATGAATATAACAATATTAACTCTTCAATTTCCTGGCTTGGAAAAATCCTAAAAGATCTTTACAAGAGTCCCCGAAATAAAAGGATGGTGGACGATAATTCGTCATCCCCAGGATTTGGCGATTGAGCCACCTATTCTTCCAGTCGACTTTTAAAAGGAGTAGTATATAAGGTATTTATTCCTTCCCTTCCGGAATCCTTCGTGGTGTAACTGGAAGCATGATATTCTGGCGGTCTGGAATTCCGGCGAGGGTAGGGCGGATTTCCTTAGTTTCCTCACATCGATATAACCTTATGAGACTACAACCATCTGAAGTTTAAAATCGGAATGCAAAAGCAAACTGTTGACTAAAGTTAATTCATTTGGAGGATAAGAAGAAAGAAGAAAGTTCTCTTATTTACACTTATCTACAGTGCGGGATATTTAAGCAAAAGCTAGTATTATTTAACAGTGAATGCGGCATTTTATACAGACCTTGAAAGTCATCAGTGGAAACGGTGTGGTGTGTGGTGTATTTAATTATGGCAAAGCACACTAGGGCTATCTGCCTAAGGGGAGGGATGCCTTTCGTGGAGGACTTTCTAAGGGAAACTGGCTCGTATACACGTTACACATGGGGAAAACCACGAAAACGCCCATGCAGCCAGCCCGTACGCCTGAATTCGAACCCAGGTCAGAACTACCAGTGTTCAGCAATTTTACCGCTTGGCTGCTGGTGAGCAGTTGATCAACTATATAAACGCTAAGTAAGTTTAAATGAGCAACTGCTATGCCTTTCATCTAACAGTTCTAGAAATTATCTTTAATTATGTTAAAAATAATCGATTTGAAGTTACTTTATTTTAAAAAACCTACAATTTTATTATTTTTAAAGTAAGTCATTTTAATTCTACATTATTTTACGATAAAAAAGGGCTGAAAATTGTGACTTGTTTATATAAAATGTTGGGATTTGGTTTATTTAATTATAGCAAAGCACTCTAGGGCTATCTACCTAAGGGTAGGGATGCCTTCGTGAATGATTTCCTAAGATAATGTTGGGTGTAGTATATATAACAGTGTTATGTGGATGACAAGATATTTTATTTAAATATTCTAAACGTCTGGAATATAAAATGAAAATACGGAATACATTAAGAATATCAAAATAAGTATACAAAATTCCACGCTCGAAATCAGTTATAAAGATGCTGAGTTTTAAAATGTATTTTTGAGATATTTTGACATTTTAAAGTTATCTGACTGCTTAAGGTATTGATCATTCTTTATACGTTAACACATATACATTATAAATATTTTAGTTATACATTAGTGCATTAAATACATTAGTGCAGTTTAGAAGCATAAAATTTTGTAAAGCAAATTAATAACCCAAAACGCTGTTCCAAGTTTTCGAAAGAATACAAAGAAAATGCGGTTTTGTGTGGAACTACCACAAAATTATACAAACTACTTTTACGCT